CCCCACCCAGAGTGGCAGGGGCAGCTGCCTTCTGTGACAAATGTCCTCGGGCCTCAAAGCCACACTCTGCCCCTTTCTCTGGGAGCCGCTCGTGGCAGCATCGCAAGGTCTGCCTCCCACATGCCCCACCTGTGTTGACCCTCCCATGACAGTTGACATTTTCATGCTGGACACTGCGCTGTGTGCTCTGTCACACGGAGTCCCCTGGCTCACCCCACACAGCAGGTATTCTTGTCCCCATTTGACAGAAGGGGCCCTGAGCAGTCAGCCACTCGCCTGAGCTCACATGGCAAGGAGCTGTGAGGTTGGCTTGCAAAGGCTGTGTGTGCTCTCTCCCACCATGCCCACCCCTGCCGGTGCCCTCACTGGGCCAGGTCTGCCCGCTGCGCCCAAAGATGGAGGGAGGCCTCACCTGCCCTCCTGTCTAACAGAGAGGAACCAAGCAAGGGCCTGGTGAGGTGGCCCCGCCTGGAACCTGCTCTCTTTCAACTGCTCCAAACCCTGCCTCCCTGACCCTGCCCTCACATGGGAGACACTTGCTGAGCACCAACTGCAGGGAGCTGGGGTCACGGCCAGGATGAGACAGAGATTATTCCTGCTCTTGATGGGGGCAGGGCACAGACACTTCCCAGAATATCACAGTGATTAAGTCTGTTTCATACACTGTGATCGGTTCTACAACGGAGAGGCATGGGGTACAGAGACTGCAGACACGAGGCCAGGGTGAGGCTGAGGCCGATGTAGTTCTAGAAGGAGAAGTGGGGAAGGAGAGCATCCATGTCGCTCATAGGGCCTGGCTCTACCTACAGAGCCATGGGGAGCAGTGTCCGCCTCCTTCCTCTCTCCCACAGGGATCTGAGCACCTTGATCAGACCCCACCTGAAGCTGCTCTCCCCAGCTACACAATCATGTCCACTGTTCACTTGCTGTCTTCTAGCCTCTTCTTTGCCAGCATCACTTCAAAGGGTGTAGCATCCAGAGCTCAACACTGAATGGGTCTGACAGGAACAGAGAGGAGCAGAACTGTCTCTCTCCCCCTTGTTTGGGACACCATAACTCTAATAATGCTTCTAGTTGCAATCAGTAAGAGCTCTGGACAGACCCCAGCTTGCTTCACTCACCAGGTGACCCCAGGTTTCCCGCTCGCCCTGGGCCATCCATCCGCCTCCAGACAGGCTGCTCTCCTGTCCGCCTCCTCCCTCCTGCCGAGCTGGGCCCATCAAGAGTCCATTGTGCCAGTTCCCAGCTTGTTTATGCCCATGGAACTTGTCAAAATAATTATGTCATGTAATTAAATATGACTTAAAATGATGAAATGTGTACACGAAAGGAGAGTTGTTTTCTGTTAGAAATAAGTTGACGGCTTTGAAAGTACTCCATACAGGAAAAACTGCTGTTAAATTAAATGTTGGGAGACAGATGGGCGACCCAGGATGCTGCGTTCGGCTTGTGCGCGGGGTATTTGGGCCTTCCCGCACGTTAAAGGAACAGAAGCTGAAAGCTGGAGACCGGTGGTTCTCCCCACTGGCGGCATAAGCACCAGCCCAAAACCCTGCATAAAACACAGATCTCTGACCCAACCCTGGCCTGCTGAGTCAGGCACCCTCAGGGATGCCCAGAAACCTAAGTCTCCACGAGCCCCCGGGCGTTCTCATGCCCACTCAGGTCTGAGAAATTCCACTGTGGGGTAGCCTAGTCATCAGAGGGGTAAATTGTGGGAGGAAAGGCCCCCCAGGGCCCTGAAGAGCAGACTGGCACCACACATTGACCTCACATCCAAAGGTTAGTGAAAGGGGGCCCAGGGACGGGCTCTCAGCGAGTCTGGTGTGGAGGGGACCTCTGCAGGCTCCATCTGAGTGACACCCAGGCCCTGGCCACAGACCCGCTGAGGGCAGCAGTCAGCAGTGCCCCCATTTTACAGATGGAGCCATGAAGGGGCTTTGCCCAGGGTCTCACAGCCGGGGAGTGGCCTGGCTGACCGCGGGCACGGCTCCGGGCCGCCCACCGCCCTGACCGCCTGTGCTTTCCCGCAGCTCTTCCACGCCTGCCACGGGCCCGGCCTGTCCGTGCTGTGCTTCGTGCGCCACGACACCCTGGAGTACTTCAGCGTCTACGGCACGGCGCTCAGCATGTGGGTCTCGCTGATGGGTGAGTGGCCCCCTCGCAGCCCAGCCCGCGCCAGGGCCCGTCCCCCGCCACCCACCTGCCCACAGACTCTGCTCCCCACCCTCACTCTGAACCCCCCTCTCCTGGGCTTCAGGGCCGACGCCGCTCTCCGACGCACGGGGTCCCATTTCCCACATCCTTTTAAAATGACACACTCGACAAAGGCTGGTTGTGACTTCACCTGGAGGAAGGGGGAGTCAGAGCGCCCCGCCTCCAGGTCCTTCTCCTGGAGAACCCCTGTCCCAGCTCAGGCCCTGCCCCGAGACCTGTTCACACACAAACACACACAACTGTCAGCTCAGTTTGGGTGGAAATGGGCTCATTCCGCAGCTCTTTTTCACTTAGGGTTGTCTCATGACAATGTCAGGGCTCAGTCCCCCTTCCACGGGGCTCCCCAGGTCTCTGTGTCTGTGTGCCCTCCCCCTGGTGGTCCCATGGAATGGCGTCACTTGGACTCTGTGTGCTGAGCTGTCCATTAAAGCAGCTTCCCACCAGCATAACCCGAGCCACTGTGTCCATGGGCAAGTGGCAGCTGGAAGTCAGACCTCTGCGTGGCCAGGCTGGGCCCAGGGTCTCGCTGGCTGCGGGGATACCAGCCACACCCGGGCCCCTAAGGGGTGCCTGGGGGTTGGGGAGCAGTGGCCCGGAGGAGCGAGGGGGCCACTCAACTCTCCCAATCTCTCTCCCCGGCCCCTCTAGCACTAGCCGATTTTGACGAACCCAAGAGGTCAACCTTTGTAATGTTTGGCGTCCTGACCATTGCCGTCCGGATCTACCACGACCGCCGGGGCTACGGGGTGTACTCGGGCCCCATCGGCACAGCCGTCCTCATCATCGCGGCCAAGTGGGTGCGTACTGTGTGGCCCTCCACAGACGGGACCCCTCCCTGACTGCCTCCACTTACCTCCCCTCATGGGCAGGCAGACTGGACACAGCTTCGGCTAAAACACATAGAAAATGACCCTCAGGCACCCCAGGCATGCAGATCCGGTTTGTATCATGTCTATAACTCACTAACTCTGGAACTAAGCCAGTTACTGACCATCTCTGCCTCAGTTTCCATATTTGTAAAGTGGGCATTCCAGTAACAGTCCGGTACCCACCTCATAGGGTCGGTTCAAAGATAACACACCTTAAAAATGGGCACAGAACTAGCTCCTAACGTGCTCAACAAGTGGGGGCTACTTATTATTCGTGAAGAGAACGGCTGCTTTGGAGATGCAACATCATTGAGGATGACCTGAGGGCTTCCTGGAGGAGATGGCATTCGGCTTGGCTCTAATGAGAAGGGAGGGTGTAGTGTGAGGCTGACAGGGAGATGGACCTGCTCGTGAGTACTGAGGCGGCCTGAGCAGGAGTGTCCAACACTGATGGTCTTTCACTGGCACCCAGAGGCCTGACACCCACGAGGCCCTTTACACATGGTCCCCAGGCCTCCCTGTACCCTCTGTCATTCCAGGGCCCTCCTGGCTGCAAGGACCAAAACCCACTCAGACCAGCCCAAGCTAAAGAGGGACACTGCTGCGGCAGGATGGGCCCGGGGCCGTTCCTGGGTCCCCAGAGCAGGGAAGGGGCTGAGCCTGGCAGGGAGCAGAACCCAGGCCTGGGATGCAGTAGGGTAGCACTCAGGGAAGAGGCTCGGGCTGGGCAGGTGGTGCAGACCCATTTTACAGACTCAGGAGGGTAAATAAAGTTTTGATGGCGAGCTTTCCAAACATACCTGCTCCTCTGCACCCCCAGGAGTTGAAGCTTTATTTTGGTTCATGAAGAAAGCAAGCACGGGAGGGACCAGCAAGTTAACAAGAAGTCCCGCAGAAGGGCCCAAGGCCAGGCCTTGACTTTTGCAGCAGCAGGAGGGTCTCCCCGCTCCCTCTTGGGGAAGTGCAGCTGGCCCCGGGCTGACCCAGGAGGCCCTCGAAGCGGCTGTGAGTGGAGAGGAAGTGTGCTGGGTCCGACTTGTCTGGACTGAGGAAGGACCGGTTAGGGAACATGCTGGAATGCATAAACAGAGAGCTCTGGGCTCTGACAATGCGCTCACCCCAGCAGGAAGCAGGATAAAGGCTCCTTGTTCTGGCCTGGAGGGCTGCGCCTCCCATAGCTCTTGGCCAGCTCGGAATCTGGGCTGCATGTGAATCAGCCAGAAGAGCAGTCACTTGCTGGTGTCCCCACTAAGTGCCACAGGGACTTCCACGGCCCTCAGGCTGTGGGTCTGGCCACGGGAACTGAGAGGGCTGCCTGGCTCCCTACATCTGGGGCTCAACTTGTGTTTTCTAGGCCATTTAACGTGGAGTTTATTTTGGATTTTCAAGGGCAGTTGTTTCCAGGAAGGAGGGGGCATTCTTCTCTCGGACGCTCATCCCTTCTTGAGCAGAAGTGTGTGACAGGGGCTGCACAGGGTCAGGACAGGGCATGACCTCTGGCAGGTGCAGGACTGGCTGGATGACAGTGGGCACCGCATGCATGTCAGGGTGTCTCCCTGAGCCCCATCTCCTGCCTGAGGATGACGGGGTGTGAGTGCCCAGGGCCAGCTCTCCCTTGGGTTCGGGGCTCCCACTCCTGAACGGACACTGTGACCTAAGAGCTTTCCGGTTGCCACTGTCCCTGCAGCTGCAGCAGATGAAGGAGCGGAAGGGCCTATACCCCGACAAGAGTGTCTACACCCAGCAGATAGGCCCCGGCCTCTGCTTTGGGGCCCTGGCCCTGATGCTGCGCTTCTTCTTTGAGGTACCCTGGTGGAGGGGCAGGGGGTGGGGAGAGTGGTGGGTCCGCAAGAGCCCACTTTACAGCGCCAAACCCTCCCAGGCAGGTGTCGGGCGCCTCCCACATCCCTGGCAACACTGGCAACGTGCAGAGAACCTGCCTCTGAGATGAGATGCATAGCCCAGAAGGGGCCTGGGGCTGGAGCCCACAGCTGGAGGGAGCGAGGGGTGGGGGAGA